CCTAACTCGAAACGCGTTTAGGCCTCTGAAGAAGACGACCACGTCGAAACGTTAGGCCGTAAATAAAGATTTCCACCTAAAAACCTCGAGTGGCATAGCAATATAAACAGAATAAACAACGATGCCGAGGTTACAACAAGAGAGAACTTGGAGAATGTCCACATTAATTACCCATACCGCCATTCCGTAACTTTCCACGGCACTATCCCCACAGAGTGTTCTTTTTGCCTACCCACCCTTTATACGTTTCCAGGGCACTAAAGAAATTCAACAAATCGAAATGGAAAGCTCACGGCGACGTTGAAATGTCAGTGGTCTCGTGCTTTGTCGAGTTCCGATACGTTGCAAATTCCGACCTACTTGTGTTCGCTGTGCACGACGCCATTCCTACAATAAAGAAATTGCTGGCCCCAAGCTACTAGAAGAATAGGTATCAGATCAGAGCTACAGACTGGGTACAACATAACGCAAAACCCATAGGAGAGGTGGCACTTGGCCAGTGGGGAGGTGGGGGGAGGGACCGCAAACGCAGGGTCGGTGATAACCAAACAGCATAAAAGTGTTATTGCCGGATGGAAAGCTGGTGTGAGGAAGTCCACAAAATATTGAAACAGTTGATTACCATATCACTAGGTGGCATGAACTAGTAAGTACATGACTGATACATCTCAAACAGATTCGTGCGTATCTACCTTTCCAACCCTAAACAAGCATCTGTCTGTGTGGACAAAAATCACTTAGAATCAGAAGTTACGAACGAATTGAACATTTGCACAACCTCTGCGTAGAGGCCTAATGCACGGCGCACACCACGATACCAAATTAGGCTTGACTAGTTCAGCAGGGATATGTATTTTGTGAGCAGATTGAAATTCGCGAATGAGTATCCTTACAACGGCACAGAAGGAGTCGAGCTTTTGAGTGGCTCAGAATGTCGCCCAAGGGTGACCCATCTAAAATATCTTCTCAACTAGCGGGTCTTCAGGGGAAACGTGCAGCTTGTTAGGAAGACGAAGTGCGAGTCTTGGTAGGGTTTTCAATTTCGCGAAAATTGCGTTCGAAAGAAG